GGGAAGGCTCGCCGACGAGCACGGTGGAGGTGGGGGTACCCCTCTCCCTGTATTGTGGTGGCAACCCTTCTTTCCCCTCCTCCTCCTCCCGCGCATGCTCTCCTCCCCGTTTCTCCTGCTGCTGCCGCGCTCGTTGTATCCATCCCTCCTTGGGATGCTTCCTGATTCCTTCCTTGTCGCGCGGGCGTGTCCTTTCTGTGGGTAGTAAAACGGAGGACTCGTCAAGGCCCCTAGGAGGGGATGGGGCCAGGGCTTGTACAGCCATGCTCTCTTTGAAACGGCGGTCCGTCCCGCTTGGTGAAGCGGAGGAAAGCAAGGGCGCTGGTCTTCCATTCCCCGCCTCGTTTGCTGCAAATGCTTGCGCAGATGACAATCGTGGCCCCCGTCCCTGCCCTCTCCCTCCCCTTCGCCCCCGTTTCCGCTTGCTGCTCCCCTGTCCTTTGTCCTTGGGGGCCGTGGCCGTCTTTTTCCCATCGTCTCCGGCAGTGTCCTCCCTTTTCTCCTTATTCTGGTCCCACGGCATCCCACCGCTTGTCACGGACTGGACACGTATGGAAAATAACCAAGCGAGGCGCGTGCCCCCCCTCTTTCCCTCCGCCCGTCGGATGCCAGCCCCGTGCTGCTTATCACCCTATGTAGAGGAGCGTGCATGGCACACATCAGTGAGTCGGGCACGAACATGGCATTATTCAAATGCACAACGCAACATACTATCGATGCGCCAGGCTACTTGTGCGTAGAGGCTCTAAGGGGTACATTTTTGTCAGCGTGGCTCATGTCATATCCATCAGACAGCGATGTTACCTGCAGAGAGACTCGCTTCAAATTTTGCTATAACTGCCAACCCGTTTTGTTATACGTGAGCAACATACGATGGGTGGATGACGATAAATCGAAACCCACTGGTCCATGAGGTAAAATATGCACGTGTATTTACGGTAGGTTGTTGGGGAAATTTGGCCGAATGGGAAGCAGGATAGGCAGCTGCAGCTAGCATGCGTGTTCAACTCGTTGAACGTAGACGGAAATGGTGTTGGTAGCAACAATGGGACCGCAGGAATGGTCACAAGACTTCTTCACTTTGATTTTAGGGTGATTCGCAGATGAAAATGTAGGAAAATACATATTTGAAAAGACCAGACGAGGGGAATAAACGGGAAGACGGAAAAGGGAAAGGCAATAACGTCAAGCGTCCGGGGAGAGGAGCAGGCCGTAAAACAAGCGTCAACGAAGACACGCAGCAGCACTCGTTATTGTAGGTACGATGTTCCTTCTTGCCAATACTCTTCTTGTGAACGCGGAGCCAATGAAGGGAAATAAATCGACATGGAGAGGCCCGAACAAGGAATCAGGACCTAAATGCTCACAGGCATGGGGAAATGACAGCCATCAACTTTCCTTTAAATGGGACTCCTACCTCTGTCTGCCAAAGGAAAAGAGGAATTTTAGTGCCACACAATGCCTGCCAACGTATGGGCGCTTCTTGCCTA